CTTGTGGGACACTCTTGTGGGACACTCTTGTAGGAAACTCTTGTGGGATACTCTTGTAGGACACTCTTGTGGGACACTCTTGTAGGACACTCTTGTAGGACACTCCTGTAGGGCACACTCCTCGTACGAGACTTCCTCCAAAAGTCACGCTGCGAGACTGCAAGACGAGCGTTTCGTACGAGACTCCAAAAGTCACGCGTCAAGTCTCAAAAACGAGCGTTTCGTACGAGACTTCCTCCAAAAATCACACGTCAAGTCTCCAAAACAAGCGTTTCGTACGAGACTTCCTCCAAAAGTCACATGTCAAGTCCCCAAAACGAGCGTTTCGTACGAGACTTCCTCAAAAACTCACATATCAAAGTCTGCAAAACGAACGTTTCGCACGAGACTTCCTCCAAAAGTCCAGCGGAAACATCCATCGGAGCACACACATCACGCAGCCCTGCCAAGCAGTTTCGCGAGTCCAGCCCCTCCAAATGACACCCGCTCAAACGCCAATCCCAATGTGACAGCGACATTCACCTCTACCACAACTCACAACCTCCCGATTCCCTGCGCCTGCCACGAATCTTTCCGCGTCCACACGTCTAACGCGCACAAAGTACTGCGCCTGCCACGAAATGTCACCTCCGTCACACATCGCAACCTCACGATTCCCTGCGCCTGCCACGAAAATCCCACTTCCACACCTCAAAACCCGCACAAAGTCCTGCGCCTGCCACGAAAAGTAACGATGTCATCTCATGTGAGCTTCAACAAAATTTGCACCACACCACACGTTTGGAATGATTTCGACCCGTTCTGAGCACACTCCCATCCACCAAAATCGGCATTTCAGCTGAGACTTGTCACGAAAACAGAGCTTCGATGCCACACCCTGAAACGCAAATCCCAATGGCACGGCCACATCCAACACCCCAAAAACACGACTCTCCAAACGCTAATCCCAATGGAACTGCGCAGCAATCTGCAGATCTCACCAAACGCTGCGCCTGTGCAGCGAAACGCATCACGTTGCTTGCGCGACATGTCTCTTTCATGCAAATCACAATGGAATAGCGGCGCAAACTGACACGTGACACATCCATGAAAAGTCACTTGCAAAAGCTTCCCCCAATGGCAGCGCCTTAGCGCTCTACCGCGAACGGTTGCGGACGGTTGCGAACGGTTGCGGACGGTTGCGGACGTAGAAACAACGGATCGCGAACAAGGCTCTACCCCCAGACCCCCAAGAGTTAAACGAGAACCCTTCGCTACGCATTCGGGAAAAAATCGAAAAAAAAATAAAGGAAAACAAATGGTCGGACAAGGTGGCTGGTAAGAAGACCTTCTGTGTTTGTTTGGGTGTCTGAGCATATCTGAGCTATCTACTGTCTGCGGTGGTCATTCCCAACGGAGCAACGCGGCGGTTCTCCTGCGTAGCATGTCTTCATCGGTCAGCCGGAAGGCCTTGGCATGGGCAGCCAGGCATGTGATTGCAGATTCATCGAGCGAACGCTACTAGGACTCCTAGTAGCGAACATTGCTCCTAGGAACGATGCCAGGAGTCCCAAGTAGCTCTGTATACCTACGGTTTTTGAAGGACTTTGATGGAATGAACATCAGCAGCTCCCTGGTCTGCCGGGTCTGCACCCAACCGGACAGGACCCAACCCACAACGCCGCAACGATCACCATCCACTTGTCGGACCTGAAGTAAAGCATCGGCTGGCGAACCAGTTCTTCGCAACTCCTGGCAGGTCTGGCGACCGACCGAGGAAGGGTCGCACAAGGGTACGTTCTTCAACCTCTGTTGGCAACTGGTACTGCAGCCACTGATTCATCCTGGATTCTGTCTCATTCTGTCTATCGTTGAGAAGTCCTCATGATCTCTGTCATGTTTCCATCGATGAGTCCTATTATGGATGCTAAAGGCCATCTATCGACGGCTTGATGTGATTATCTTCTTGATGTGATGCATTATAGACGTTCTGGAAAAATTCCTGGATACCAGAATGAAATCAATCAGCATCGCAGTGCCGACGTTGAAGATGAACTGCCATTTGCAGTTGAATGTTCAAACATGTAAAGGGCAAATAATGATGTTCAACTCGGCAGAGTTGTTTGATCTTGGTTCCATGACACACGAGGCGAGCAAAGCACCAAGGCATACCGTAGCTTTTCGAGCTATAAACTTTGGTCCATTCCAGAGCGCTGAGGAGTTGCATCACCGAATGTTGGTCCAAAAAGAAGAGATAAGAAACATACTTCTGATGCCGCAAAGAGGTTCCTCTCCTTCTCACTTCTCATGCTTGGACGGGACATCAAGTGAAGGAGGAGACCCCATCATGTCCAGTCTCGCAAGCCGAGTTGGCTCAATAGGACAGAATGTGGGTGTGGGTTGGCTTACCCAAAATTGAAAACAAAAAATACAAACCAGTCACATTTCACAAACCGATGTGAGGTGGATGTCAGGATGGATTAGGTCTTCAGAAGGCTATCGAATGCTATGGAGCTGGGAAGAAAAGCAGCTTTTCCAGAGCTTGAAGAAGGCTGCGGATGCAGAAGAATATGTCAAAATGGATCTCTCCACCCTGGCCTTGTACAAGTTTTCATGTAGCTCACGAGTCACGAAGTCAACCTCGACAGCACAGCGGCCGAGACGGCGCGAGAGAAAACGGATGCAATCTGCGATCTGGAAACGGGTCTGGCAGCACGTCTGGCAGCACGTCAGGAGAAGAACATGCAAGAAAATTTGGAAGAATGTACTGTAGCCTGGAATAATAATCTCATTGGACATCCAATGGTATATAGTCACGCTGATGTGCTACATACGCTACATATGTCTTGAGCCTACCAGCATAGCACTAGTATGTACTATAGTCACTAGCAGCCTCGACCAGTCGACCACTTCGCCTTTCAAAACAGTACAGTGGCACCAAATGTTCCTCATCAAAAATACCTGCCAGCAGTCACAAAGGGATGGAGTGGTCCCTAAGTGAGTGGATAATGGGCACCCTATCCTCCAATAGGCACCCCTTTGTGACTGCTGGTTACTTTTTTTTACGTTGACCCAGATTTCCCCCGATGTCCGTCGCCGTGTGGCGCGCCAAAAAATGGCCACCCCTCTCACTCTCCAGTGGAGAGAAGCTGATCAGATCCATCCAAATTCACAACAAGACCCTGCCGGTTCAGGTTTTATACCGTACCTGGTCCGCAAGACCTCATTGAGTACTGTTTTTTGTAGAACCGGACCCAGCAGTGGCGTAAGACCTGCTGGGATAGATTGATACATGCCAGGAGTTCCAGAATAGATCCCTAAGTATCCTTAGGTCCCTAAGTGAGTGGAGAAAATTCGCTACCGCCTTCCATCCCTTCCATCAGCTACCACCTTGACACACCTTAAGGTCCTTAAGCACATCTCCAATCCTCGAAGCGTTTTGATTGCCGGGACCCACCACAAATGCGTTCAGCATTCCCCTGCCTGGATTCGGTGCAATTCTCCTTCCCCATCCCCATCACCAACCTCCTCCTCCGGCTGGGCACCCGGCCACCGGGCGCCCCCCGTGGCCGTCGTAGACCGCGAAGAAGGCGCTGCGCTGCTGGCCGCCGAACTGCCCAAGAAAAGCCGAGCTTGGCATCCAAAGAAAGCCCTGAGAGTAACGACCAAGTCATGTGGTAAGAAGTGACTTGGATACACTCTGACCAACACATCAGAAGGAAGTGGATGGAATGGTCCCTTTGAACACGACTTTCCTTTACCAACAGGGGTGACATCCACTTCCATGCGACGTGTTCGTCGGAGTGTAAGTGTTCCAAAGAACAGTCGAGCGTCTATAGTGGTGAAAGTCATAAATAGAGGTATGGGCCCTGTAGAAAATGGACCGAGAGGAACAAAGCCGCAGCCATTCTTCCTAGTGACGAAACAATCGGTGTCAGTCAGTGACCTGATCTATCATGAGACAAATGATTGTTGATGGTGCGCATGACTCATACACGACTAATGGGACTGCCATAGGACTGCAACCCCATTGACCCCCCCACCCAAAACCACCCACCCCTGGCCGTTTCTCGGCAGTCCGAACTGGCAGTCCCAGACAGGTCGTCTCTGGGTGATTGGCAATCATGCAATGCTGATGCTTGCGGAGTGTCGGACGTTCGTCACCAACTGTCACCAAGCAGCGCAGCAAGACGCAAGAATCGCTGGTTGGATTGGTTCAGAATTCGGAAGGTCTCCGCAGTGCTTCGGCATACCCTAGGATGGCTACCTGAAATGCCAGGGCAGTTGACTGTCTCATCTCCCATCTCCCCACTTCATGTAGACTCTTTGAGTGGAGCAGTCACCCCGCAAAGCTTGAGTGGAGCTTTTTCAATCCAAAACTCGCGTAATGCTCGGACCAAAGGGCGAACGAACTGCGAGGGCGAACCGAAGGACGCCGGACGCCTGGTCCACGAAGACGAAGCCATCCTCCATTTCTGCCCTGCGGCCTGAGGTCGGACATCCCAGGTGTGCCCGGTTTGGCAGCCCAAAAAGAATTGGCTTGTTGGGTCTTGGAAAAGCGGTTGGTGAATGTTTGGGCAAAAATCCACGAGTTCTGAGGGAGGAGACATAGATACGTTGAATTGCAAATGGCAACTAACAGGTATGTGAAGTGCTTCATGGCAGCCACTTCAGCGGCCGATTCGACCGTGAGTCGAAAATGCCTCAATAAGGCTCATCGCACGCGCCACGCCTGAGGTTCATGCACCGGCTGTGTCGGTCACCACCGCCATGATCCGCCGTATCACCATTCGCCACCAACGGACCCACCGATTGCGGGAGTTTTGCGGTCATTGCTCCTCTAGCCTCATCGGTCCTTTTGTGAGCCCTTTGGAAATCAAGAACTTATCCATCTGGTGCCCTCCAAGAATCTCCTGGATATTGCCTGGATATACAAAGACCTCCACCTTCCAACGGGTCTCCGATTCGATGGCTGAAATGGAGACTTCAAAGTGGTGGTGACATGGCAGACACCTCGGGTATGATGGGCGTGGAATCGATATAGAACTTGTCTCCCTGCAAACCCGGAAAAGTTAAAACAACTCAACCCCTCCGCACCTTGATCCTCAGCCCAGCCGACCGCATGCACGGCCACCGGGTTGTGCGCGAAACCTCGGGTGTTCGACCCACAGAGAGGCAGTCGGGTTCTGCTCCACGCTCCACTGCATGTCCATGCAGTGAAAGGGTGGAGATGGGATGTACCAGCTGTAGACTCTTGATTCAAACCCTCAGACATGGGCTTAAAGAAAAATGGAGGGGTGATTAATCAAGAGTCTATATATAACATACAATATATCATACCAATATAATATGTATATACAATAACTGATGTGGTCTCTGCGGTCTCTACCCTTCTTCGTTGGAGACAATAGATGACAATAGTAGATCTCTCAACTGCGGACGATGGGCACGTCGGACGATGTGGCTTCACTCATGGAGGCAGGGTGGCGGTCTTACATGGTCTTGGAATGTCTTACACATACCCAGTCTCCCTGTTTGAAGATCGCGTTGGCCAATACGCGATGTCTAGACTTGGTGGGAACGGAGCGATGTCTAAACATGGACCCCCAAACCCACTGGTTTGGATCTTCCCAAATCCGGTACCTGACTCACAGGTGAGCAAACCGAGTGCCCAACCCATGGTTGCGTTCGCCAGCTCTTCACGCTCGTCAACGACCGCGTCAGTCACTTCATGTCGACGGTGTGAAGGCGTTTCATGCACTATCACTGTGCGTGGGTTCCACGGCGTTGTTTTGGGGATTAACACCGGAAAAAGTGCTTTTAAACGTTGGATCTCTTCAGCATTTGATGTCTCCGATTTGCCCGGTCCCTATCAGTTTCCATGGGGTGAAGCATCGTCCATCTTTTCAAGACGAACAGTTCACTGCTCTGGTCATAAAGGGGTGTTTCTCCTCGCACCGTCTCCGAAGAAGCTGGACTCGATTCCGTTCGTACGCTGCTCTCTGTACTCGACTTGCATCTCTCCATGTCCGTATGACTTTGAGCCCTGGCTGCGGTGTGGCCACCTCTCACGATCGCATTCGAACGATGCGGTTGGCCGCAACAAAAGGCGCCGCAGGAGTGGGAGCGAAAAGCATAGCTGAAAGCCTTCCAAATCCCTCCAAACTGAGCAAAGTCATGAAGCCCAAAGCTGGCCAAACCAGGGTGAGAGTCTTGTGGTCAGACCACGAAATACAGCGAACCGTTAAAATCAACCCCAACAAAAAGTGTGTGCCTCCAGCTTCCGCAAAACACGCCGCGATGCAGTGCTGCAGGTTCCATCGGAAGTGGAGCCCGAAATAGACCTTCCACTGGGGTGTTTAAAGAGACGTCTAGCTTGGGTCGGAAACTAGACAAGGCCGGCACCATAAGCCCTAACTCCCTCAGCTTCGCTGGAACATAAACGCTATAGCCTTTTTCATCCTTTTTCCACCTGTCCTTGTTGAGTGGGGAAACCAATCCCCAAAAATATTAAAGCTTCTCCACTGAGTAGGAGTACTCTCCCTATTCTCCCTCCCTGGAATATATGATGGAAGTGAACCACTTCCCCTTAGTGCAAAAACAACACGTGGACGCTTTTTGGGGGGACATGCCATCCACGCTTTCCAGGAAAAAGGAACTCGAGCATCTACACAACGAGGTTGCATAGCTGTTCGGGCTCAGGTGGTACATGAAAAACAAATAAAAACAAAGACAGGATTCATCTTTTGCCACAAGAAGCCAAGAAACTGTGCAGCCCCTCTACTTGGGTGACTACTCATCTGCCAGATTTCTCAAGTCTTGAATGCTCACTCGGGCCTTTTGGTCACTTTTGCACAGCGCCCACAGCTGCTGCACGAAGGTTTCGCGCTGTCTGGCGCGTTCAGCACCGTTTTGGGGGCGAACCAGATGGGCCTCGTCGGGTCCGCAATATGGGTCATGGACCCAGGGATGGTCTGGCGCTTGCCAACCAGCAGGTCCAGCCCTCAAAATCGCGGGTCCGCGGGTCCGGCCCTCAGGTGTTCTTCACCGGCGGACCCCTCATGATCAGCAGGTCCAAATCTGTGGCAGTGCGAACTTCAAAGTCATCCGGATGATACTCCTCGAGTGGTCACCAAATGCATGTTCGAAGATCGGCGACTTTCAAGCTCTGTTCCGCGGGGAAGGCGTTCAAACATCCCTTCCAAACCGATCTAGGAACGCAACGGATTGGCTATTGGGGGAACAAGAAGACGGAAGGCCACAGCCAAACTACTGCATTCTGCTGCCCTTCTTGTGGGACGCACCAGTTCAACCAAAAAGTTGTCCAAACATCTTGCGAGGCACCATTCGTCCATTTACACCAATGATGACATCATTCACTTCCACCTCCCAGTCCGGCATGCCGCAAGCCACGGCCATCCGATTCCACTCCTCAATCAACCCTCCGTGGAAGATGCGGTGCACCCGCCCAGCGGAGCCACAGCCCACTCCATCCACCACTTCGGTCCTAAGGCCTAAGCGCTCGTCCGGAGAGTCTTTGTAGATTTGGATGTGGAAGGTCCGCGACTTGGGCGTACCTTGGCTCACCTGGGCGGGAAGAGGGGTTCACCCCAAACACGCCTCCAAACGCCAGAAAAAGAGGCGGTGAACATGATGCGGTTTTCAAGCATTGGAACACCATGGAACATCAAGCGGTTTGGAAAAGAACATGGCTGTGGGATGCTGCGGGATCCCAATCACCGGGAGCCGCGTCTCTTCGGTCGTCCACCGACCAGAATCTTGGGGAGGCTGGGTGACCCTGCACTCCATGGAGGCTTTGCCGAAACATTGATTGCAGTGGAACAAAAAGGATTATGAATCAACCTGACATAATGCCAGGAGGCAAACATGTTCAACTGGGGCATGAAATGAAATAATATCAGAACATATTTGCCTATAGTGCAAAACGACCAAGGGCGCCCACCTTCTTCAAGTCCGGGTCTTTTGCGTCGGCAAACCCGCTGTGTGGCACCTGCAACAAGCACGTGCTTGCTTTGCCTTCGCCCTCACTCCGTGCATTTGTGCTTGTAACTGCGGGTGCCACTTTCGCCACAGGTGGGCCATGTGGAGCGGGCCCTGCCGGCCCGCTTGGCACGGCCGGCCCACTTGGGGGCGGTGCTTGGAAGGCTTGCGGCTTCAAGGAGGCCGGGGGGTGCTTGGGCTTGGGCGCGTGGCCGATCCCATTGGCGCTTCCATTGATCCAAGAACTGGGAGGACCCGCTTTCGCTGCGCTGGGACTCTCCTCTGAGTCGCTGGGTGGTGGGGTGCTCGCACGGGGTGCCGGACCCGTGCTCGTGGTCGTCGTCGCCGCCGCGACGCCGTTCTTGGAGACTCGGCCGGCGCTCCAAGGGTCGATGCCTGTCGTCAGCCAAGGGTCATCGCTCCCCATGGCGATGGAGAGAAACGATGGCCGCGATCGCGGAGGGTCGACGGTGGTTCTTTTGTTAAGCGGTATTAGGTTTTCACGGATTCTGAGGTCAGGAAAAGAATGATGGTGAATGTGCTGTTCACCAATTGTGTTGGTTTCATCTAGCATGGCATGGACAGAATGGACATGAACGTTGCAGTGTCCTGTCGGAACCAAGCCCTAAACCAAGAGCTTCAGTCCTCTGGTCTGATCCATCTTGTGTCTTCAACTTCCTGTCTTGAGATCAGTCATGTCAAGATGCTAACTAGTTCGAGGTCTCGGACCCCTTTTCATGTTCAAGGAACATCGATGAGGAGTGTAGACTGTTGATATTGTTACATATTACATTACATATTACATATTGTTACATATTACATTACATGAATTCTCTATTCTCTCCATATTGGATCCATAATGGAAGCTTTTGTTGATGAACCAGTCTAGACGTCCAGATTTGTTCTCCCCTGTCCCCCACTTCACCCTGAACTTCTATGTCCCATTCCGAACGAATCGTTTTCCAGCATTCGTCTCTGGTCTCCCAATATCTGCGCATGACAAAGACAAGTGAGATGCTTCCTTTTTGGCTCTGCATTGGCTTAGAGTCTCTCAGAACTTCAGACCATTTCAGACCCCCTCCCGCTCCAAAATCATGGTCGGCTTCTTCTTTGGGGCGGCCGGTGGCTCTGCCACCGGTGTGCCCGAGCTTAGACCAGAGCTCTTGAGGTTGTCCAGTTGACCTTGGAAGTCACGCAGCTCCTTCTTCTCCCGATCCAGCTGCTCCTGTTCCGTAGAGATCTGCCGCTGCAAATCCTCGGAGAAGCGAGCGATTGGTCCAGGCTCCGTGACGGTGAGAGTGCACCATCCAAGCCGCCAACCAAAATCGAAGGGGTCCATATGGATATAACGATCAAAGGTGAAGAAAGGTCTTCTGGGCGTGTTGATGTCCGATCGTTGGCATTGAAAAGATTCAAACAGTGAGTCTTTTTTGAATGGGTAGATTTGGTGGCCCGAACGCCTGGGTAGACTGCTCCTGACGTCTGACTGGTCCATTTCCCAAACCGTCCAGATGGTCGTTGCCACGCCTGGGGGGGTCATCCATGTCTTGAGCTACACACCCACCGACCAAAGTAAAGGACCCATTCAGGTCGCCGAGTCAAATCATCCTTGGATGACCACAACTCTCAGACCATCTTCAGTTCCACGTTCATCGCTCAGAGTCGGTATGGATCTGGTTCAAGACCTGCGAGTTGGTCTCCAGATTGCCACAGGACGTCTCCAGATATTGGTTCGAGTTCTGCAGCAGAATGATCAGTTCTTCTTCCTCTTCAGCCATATGTCGCAGAAACTTCAGCTCCTTACACCACCGTGAACTCCAAAAAGAACGCTCCAAACCACCGGTCGTACAAGGACTCGGACGGACCATCCACTAGTCCAGTAGTCACGTCCATTGGGCACCCCTTGCCTTGCGCAAGGATGGTGGGCTCTAGGATCCTTGATGATCCTTGTACCTTGAATATCCTTGAATCACCAAAAACACCTGGAAGAATTTCAAGGGTCCTAGTTGCTCCGACCATTTATCTCCACCATGAAAGACCTTTGAGTTGGAGACAACTAAAGCGCTTTGGGCGAGTTTCAGGGCCTCATAGTGGGCCTCATCTTGTGGACCGGTCAAGGCCTCCATCCTTTTTGGTCTCACATCATCAGCGGCTGAAGAGATCTGCAGATCCGCCCGGTTTTGGAGGGATGGAAGTGGGGCCAGCACAAAAACCTCCCTCAGTCCGACTCAGTCCTTCGACTTGTTGCTTCTCAATTCTGAGGTCCCCTGGTCCCACCGGGCCTGGAGGAGATGGTCCTGGTCCCGGCGCAAGGTGAGGCTCTCCTGGTTCGCCACAGACCGCGCCTCCCGCAGCTCCGACAGACGACGTTGGCCCTCCTGGAATGGTCTGAATGAATCGTGATGTTTGGGGGCAACAGCAAACGCAGCGGGTCCTCGTGGATTTGCTTCAACGCACAACTGGAAAAGAAAGAAAACTGATATTATTATTATTATTATATGTTATTTATGTCATGTGAGGTCCGATGTCCTAGCCGAGGATTTAGAATGGGAAGATAAACATCAGTGCATAAACAAGCATAAACCATCATTCTATTTCCACTATAATTTGAACGTGTTCATTGGAGCGTTTTTTTTGTGCATCTGCTCCTCCAAGTCTCTTTGCAAGGCCTGGCTGTGATGCCGAAGCTTCTCAATCTCCTTGGAGTCCTGGCTGTGATGCGCCGCTTTTTAACAGGTCCGTCATTCCGGAGAAGTCATCCGGAACAACAGCTCTGTGGGAGAAACACCAAGAGTCTCAGTCTCATCGGATAATGCTGCTTGGAACATGGAGAATTCGAAGCCCTGCTGAACATTGCCAGAAAGTGGACGCTACATCGTGTTTTGCCACAACACTGGACGAAACCCCAACGGGAGCCACTTGTAGCTACTAGTCGCAAGCTACTAGTGGCAAGAAGCAAGATGTACCAGCAGTCACAAGGGGTGCCTATTGGAGGATAGGGGTGCCCATTTATGGACTAAAAACCATCCCTTTGTGACTGCTGGTAAAAGAACATGTTAAAACCAATTTGGTCCCGGTCACGGTGCCCGTCCGCGGGATTTGTCCCGGTCAAGCCCGTGAGGATTTTGCGCTTCCGCGACAGTCCATTAATGCAATTGAATGGATGTTTGGGAAGCCAACCATGCTTGAAGACCCCCTTTTGTGGAACCGACAGCTACATCTCTTCCTCTTCATTTTGTGCTTAAGAAACCTTGTGGGGGGGTCGAAACTGTCACCGGCCGGTGCCCTCGGTGCCCTCCACTCTTTCGCTGACTCGGCCGGGAGACCAACGGACCCGACACCAACGGGACCGGGGCCATCACCGTTCTGGTCCAAACATCGACATGTCGACACATCCCCAGTAAAAGGGAACGAAAGCTAGGTCTGGAGGTCTTTTACGGTCTAAAATACACACCCTTAATTGGTGGGTGTCTGGGGATTCTGAATGTTGACTGCTGATCAAGTTAAAACCCCAGCAAAATGCTTGCTACATCTCCAGGCTTAGGCGGTTTATATTCATCAATATTCATCAACAGTCCACATGCTCTAAACTGGTCTATCTGCAATCTACTATGCAGCTGGAGTGTGATTGCAGTGATTGCTGGAGAGGCTCGTGGGTGCTTTGTATCTCCTCCGTAAAATAGGTCGAATGATGTCGACATATGTCGAATGCATCGAGCGAGGCTCGTGTTACTTGTCCGCTGTCCCCCGCCATCCTGTCCTGTGAATGCAGTTGTTCCAACTCCACGTCCAAAGCTTGCAAGCGCCTGAGAGACTGCCAGAATTCCTCACCTTTGAGCCTCCTTAGCCTTCGAATTTGATGAAATGGGAAGTGAATTCAGATGAATTCAGCCTACGTTCTTAGACAGTGGGAAACAGGAGACCTGGCCATGCAAGTCCAGCCTTAGATCTTTGTCCAACTGATCCACTTCTTTTCGCAGCTGCTGTGCCAAATGGCGATCCTTCTCCAGCACCGACTGCAACGGTCTGGTCCTCTCATTCTCCTAAGAGCGAAGGTGGCACCAAAGCTGCCACTACTCATCTTTTGACCGTGAAAATGGCAAAGGTGCAGAGCCAGACCCTCTTCACTTCCCGGAAAATTGGGCGAGCGCGCCTGGGTGAAGTCATTTCAGCTGGGAAAACCCCCTGTCATCACGGCAAAATAGGAAGTCATTACAGTGGGATCATCTCCAATAGCAGGAGTCCAAAAGACCTACCTTTCCGTCCCACCCCCATGACCCAGACTTCTCTCTATCAAACATGCTCTGCCCACGGCAGTGGGCTCCTTGCCCAAACGATTGGACCGGTCACCTTGGTCCCCCAGCGGGCGCCCTCCCACATGCCAAGCCGCCGGAAAGCTGGGGTGGAACGGCTCGAAGCCGCTGGTGCGGAAAGGGTCCTCTCCCAGATCGGTCTCGGGTGCACCACCCATCGTCCCAAAGGGGTCTCCGAAAGCGCCAAAGTCGCCCAAGTCGCCGAAACCACCATCACCGAAGTCCTCGGTCGTTGCCACAAGTCGAACGAGAAAGGTCCAGGGCACGAAAACCGGACTGTACAGTGACCAGTCTTTGTTCCTTTGTAGTGCCGTGAACATTAGAAATGCAAACCAAAAGGCTTCCTTCTGACTATTTATGTATCATTACAGTATATATATATATTATACACAGTGCATTATATAATATATTGTATTCCTGATGGCTCCCAAGCAGGGTATGTGCGCTCCTTGTGCTGGTCCTTGTCTTTTTCCTTCTCCTTCTTGTCCTTCAGACTTTGGAACGCAAAAGGCTCGATCCCCGAGCTCCGCCAGGCTGCCTACCACCCAACACGGAGATGCATGGCACTGCATGATGGCAGCAGTGTTTCTGCACCGCAAACGACTTTGCTTGGGGAGTCGTCGGTGGTTCAGATCCATGTTTGTTTGGTCTCATCACTCATCTCAGCATGGCAAAGCCCATATCTCAAAGATTCCCCCAAAGCCGCCGAGCGGAAACGAACTTCCTATTTTGTTCACTGAACATCACTGAACCATGTCCTTCTCCTTGGCAATCAACAAGTATCCAACCAACTTCCTTCGATGTTCCACACTTCTATATAAAACAAGCTGTTTTGAAGGAGAGCAGCTCAAGGCTCAAGAGATTTTCTTGATGTTCGTTAGCTTAGCCCAACAGGCGGTCCTTTTTCTTCTTCTTTTTGCCCTTCTCACCTGGCCAATCCCCTCCATCTCCCCCGAACGCGTCGTTGGGGAACTCCCCGAAGTCACCTGTCGAGCCCGGAACGAGCCCGCACGAGGCATCAGATGCACCGAGAATCCGGTGAATCGAGAGACCCACTCTGGAAGAGGTCCACATGGAACCTGCAAAACCACGTCGGGTTGTTGAGGAAAATCGTCTTCCGGTCCATTTCCAGGTTCCATGTTGATCTTCCCAGGTGTACATCCTTGTTCAATCATATGATCGTGGGATCTGTGGTTGGAAGAGCTTCGCAGATCTTCGGTGAGGTGCTTCCCAGATCTTCGAAACGAGTGTTTTTGCCATATGCATCCTGGATCTTCAAGATCTTTGACTGTTCCACCTTGAGAATCGTGTAAGCTCCATGATGCCGTTGCAAACATTCGCACCCTATGAAACCTCAGCGATACATGTGACTGTGGCTCCAAGCCTATGCCGGTGCATACCAGTTCACCCACTCATTTTTCTGAAGCGAATTTACCCGATGGTGCCAGATACCATGCTTTGAAGGAATTTCGGGGTTGGCTGCCGTAATTGCTTGTGGCCACACGCCGAGTCTCGAGCTCACAAGCTCAGTCCGCGCACCTGCGAAGTCTTTGGCAAAGTCCTTGGGAAAGTCTCCTCCAAAATGCTCGGCCCCATCGGTCTGGAATGCTGTCTCAAAGTCGGGCATCTCCGTCAACCTTCAAACACAGCGAGCTTGCGGGACCCTATACTGGGAAGGTGTTCAGCGCATGGGTGTAGAACGGGCTGTGGACGTTCACAAATAAAAATCAGATTGGCAGGAACATGACTATATCAAAGCAACCTTTCCAGACCGTTATGCCCGTTATGCAAGCCGTCCTGTCCGCAAGAGAGTCAGCAGAGAGGATTCTCCCCCACCATGCCATTCCGCCCGAAGCATTCCCCCACCTTTCGGTCTTGACCAGCTCTGCCACGGGCGGCGCCGGCGACGCGCTGCGGCTCCGGCTGCGGCTCTCCTCGCGTTCCTGGGCCAGTTGCTCCAGTGGCTCCAAGGTCGCTAAGGCCTGCTGCAGTTGGGGTGCCAGTTGAGGGCCCAAGGGCCCGCAGCCCCGCAGGACGCAAGACACCAGGTGCACCATGCACACGAACTCCACGAAATCCAGCTGCCCATCTTGTGTCCTGCGGCGCAAGTTGGAGCGGGCAGTTCTCGAGCTCACAAGACCTGCCCTTGGCAAGACTGGGAAATACCAATTCTGGTCGCCCAGGGTGTGAGGAAAGCCCCCAATGGAGCCCGGAATCTTGATCAACCCTCTGCTTGCTTCCAAAGCAAAAAACAAAAAAGCTTTGCACCATGTATATCCACCTGGCTCTAGGGCTTCTTCATTGAACCAATAGCATCCCCCCTCACTGAAGACACTTGCCGATGTTCCAAGCCCACAAGTCCGTCGAACGGACATGTGAAAGGACATGGGAAAGGAGTGGAATGGAATTCCTCGGCCAACACACCGGTTGCTGCAAACCAGGGTCACCCTATGAAATCAACCGTACGAACTCAACCAGGGTCATTCAAAAGAAAAACCTTTAGAATTCCTTCCTGAAACGCCATGGAACCTTGAGGTCTCGCAACAGTTTGGGCTCGTGTCCTGTCCTTCTTGCGACCAAAACAGGTAGCAACAACACCCCATATGTGAAACAACATCACCCCCACCATTCCATCAAAAGGCTTCTATGTTCTTCATCCTGTTTGTCCGGTTTTTCCGCCCTTCGTCTCCCGACCAGCCTGGCATCCGCCAAGTCCCAGATCTGTCGCAACATCCCTTCCTCCGCAGAAAGAAGTCCCAGCACCGGCGGCCGACCGGTCGTTGGGGTCGTCTTTCTGTGGCAAATCATTGGTCTGGGGCTTGATGAATGAAATGTAGCAAGCTGAAGAAGGTTGAAGGAAGGTTTGAATTAGTGTATACGCGTCGCAAGCCGAAACATCATGTGAACCGCAAGCTCCATCACCTCACCGAGATCACAACAAACCGCGAACAGACGCCATCACTCCATACGCACGCCAGAAGAGCAAATACCAAGTACCAAAACAGGTACAAAACAGGCAGATTCCTACCAGGAACCAAAGGCACTGCATGCACAGCCCCCTCGACCTGTACTGTGCATGTCAACCTGGACGCAGGTGTCATAGGGGAGTTCAGCACCTTACAGTGACCCAGCCAGCAATGCTGCACTGGATCGCCCCCACATAGCACCTCCAAAGTTTTCTATACCTCCAAAGTTTTGTGCATCGTCAACTTCTGGGCCACCTAGCGGCCACAGGCCGCGTGAGGATGTCTGTAATTATGGGCCACCTCCACATCATTCATATGGCAAACCTAGGGTTCCTGGCTCCAAACCAAAAAGGCACCTCACAGATGCTCACATCATGTGCTTATGTCATTCTCTTTCATGTTCCAGGCGGCGCAGCCACCGGACGGACTCCTTCATTTGCTATTCTGGCTGAGTCGGCAGACTGAGCTGGGAGTCGTTTCCTTCGTTTGCCCGGAATTGGGTCGTTCTAGGTCCTTGTTCTTGATGTTTCTCTTGGGTTCAGACCGTGCTTGCTTGCGCCGCTGTGCTCACTCGCAACCCGGCCCCACAGCTGGTGGTTTATATATACACATCTTTGTTGGTGGGCAGTGGTTGAGCAAACTACTTCAACACTGCGCAGTGATGGTACTTCAAGAAACTTCAAGTGTATGGTGGCTGGCCGTGCCTGTGCAAATTACTTATACAGTAAACGACGAGAACTGGCAACTCACATGCTTGGTGCTGACCCGTGTTTGAGAACACGTATTTCGACCTGCTTATACCTTTCCTTTGGGGCAAAATTATCGGTCCTGAGCAAAGCACGGACTTGTGTTTTCACCCTGCAAACGAAAGAAATTTGAGCTGTATTGTTTCGCTCCTTCTTAGTTCATGCTCCAACCTTGCTTTGTTTCTACTTCCAACTTGGCATGTAAACAAAAGAAGTGTTGATTCTTGGTTAGCTACAGTAATGATCAATAACACAGCCGGGGACACACCCGAATCCTCTGCGATATTTCAGGATCTTGTCTCCATCCTCCTTGCCCCCCTCCCGTCCTCGAGCCCCGAGCGTTCCATCAGCGCTTTGGCCTCGCCTGCCTGGACGAAGCCATCCTGGTCGGTGTCGGAGCGCAGGAAGAGCCCCGCGTACTTGCGCCGCTCCCGCCGCGAGGGCGCCCACCTGCGAGGATGGAGCTGACCGCATTGCGGAGTCCCGTGCATGGACGACCCCAAGGGGCCATCGAAATATATACCCTTAGGGACAGGTGTGGCATGGTGCAACCAGCTCACCTCTCCAAGGATACCCTCAATAATGTGACTCTAGGTCATGCGGTCATGCCCCGTGTCGGTCTTGGTCTGGCTGCGGAGAGGAGCCACTTTCTGGATGTTGGTGTGGGGGTCTCAAAGGGCGAGCCGTGACAGGCCATGGCGGCTGGTTACACGACGTGAAGTTTCTTATTCATGCATAGCCCGGGGGGCCGTCCGGGACCCTGACTTCGGAGTCAGAATCTATATTTGAAACAATAAAAGTATAGTTTGATTATGATTTATATTTGTATGTGTGTGTATGTATGTATGTATGAATGTATGCATGCATGGATGTATGTATGTATGTATGCATGTATGCATGTATGTATGCATGTATGCATGCATGCATGTATGTCTTATGATATGCTTAAATAAATAAATATATATATATATATATGATCTTATATATATATATTCTAGAGTTTAAACATATATATTATATACTATAAAAAACGCAACCCCAATTTGGAAGCGAGCACCATCTACCCACCCGAAAATGAATCCCAGGCAACGCAAAATAATTGCTATTGTGGCGGCCGGACTTGTCAGTGCCAAAAAATAATGTGCCATCTACTTGGCAAAAACTTGTGTTCGGTTGCTCCATGATGCGCCATCTACTTGGCTGAAACTTCCTCTGTGTGGCATCTGCATTGCTCAAATTTTTGCCTGGCTTCTCCGCTGCAGCTGTCCTTTGCTTTCTTTTTTCTTACCCTTGGCCAAATTGACGAGTGAATGGCGCAACTCAAATTTGCCGAGAGCGCCATCTACCCTACCCAGACGTCAAATTCAGACCACTCCCCAAAATTGCCATTATGGATCCTCACTTTCCAGGGCCACTTACTGTCCAAAGAGAGCAGTCCAATGTGGCGTGGCACCATTCCAGCCAAGTTTTCTATCAAAGACACACCCAGTGCAAGCATCCACCTAACTTTTGCATGACATATATGGAGGTCTCGCAACATCGCAAGCTTGTCTTACAAGCTTTCAGGGCAAAACATCTGAGCAGCACGCGGGCACGAGTTTCGCCTTAATGTGGCTTTAAGGAGCTTCGCCCAAACCATTTCCTGCCGGAGAACACGGCAGGACGGTCGTCTGCGAACGCGTCGAAAAACGCGTCCGGTCCGCTTTTTTCAGTGGCGGCGCTTCGACGGCGGAGATACTTGGCTGCTCCTTCCACACACCCAGTGTCTTCACTGCTTCACACCGAAGACACTCAAAACTGGGAAGCAAATGCCACCAGTATGCTGTATACGTTGAAGAACCTCGACGATGACCTCCAGAGCCCAGAAACGAACACTAGCGACTGCAAGCGGGCTTGTACATATAGAATGCAGTGTACAGCTGTCACCTTACCACGCTCAGAATGCCCGTCATTAGTTCTTCGACATGACATAGACATCTGAGATTGAGGGTCGCATAGCACATCGACTGATGATGACATTCGGAGTATCGCTCGAAGTAGATGGCTGAGCTGGAGCCTTCTTAGATCGAGGCTTGAATGCGGGCTTTTTCTCCTCTGGCCCTCCTTTTCTGTTGCTGTTGCTTGGCTTCTTTCGGAGCTAGCTTTTCTCGAGCGACTTGACCAAAGGGTCCTTCCAGCATCTTCTAAGCTTGAAATGTGCTCCAACTTGTTCTTTATTGTTGAATTCCCTTTCAAATTCCGAAGTATTGGCTTCCAACAACAGGAAAGGCGAAACAAAATCTCTTGTTCCACACCAGCTGCTGTATAAACGGAGAATGCAATTCAGACTCGGCTTCAAGCTGCTCTATGTTTCAACAGTTCTCGTACCATTGGACTGAAAACACTTTGCAACCTCTCTTTCACCGGAAGAACCACATGAGCGACCGGCAAAGATACTTGCCAACAAAACTGCAAACTCTGTGAGTCGGTGCACAGGTCGCAGGTCGAGACTAACATAACTGCACGAATCCGTAATGGCGTTGTTACCTCAAGAAAGCTGCAAACATGCAGACTGTGAAAACAATCTCACAGCATGAGGTATGGTGGAAGAAAGAGTAAAGTCAATGGTCAATGACATAAAAGAGCATAAAGAGCTGAAAAGCAGGAAAAGGCAGATCATTGCAGGGTGAGCATATATACGTGCAAATCTGTAAATATGTACTTACACATCAGAATCTAGATATTCTAGATATACCGTGTATATATATACTGTATACTGTATACATCTGAATACTGTAAAGGCACGGCACTGTTCGAGCACCAATTCCGCCCCTGCGGTCGACCGGATCCCCCAGCAGAACATCCTCTCTTCGCCTCTCAGGTGTCCAAACCCTTCGTGGAGAGGGCGATCTCCCTCTCGAGTTCCCTAGAGCAACAAGAGTGCGGCGACCGACTCCAGGGGGCGTGGCGAAGAGAGGACCGACTGGTGAAGTCGACCCAGCTAAAGCGGTCGACCGAGGAGTCGGGCATAGTTCTTCTCTGAGCAGGACCACATCGTGTTTTTGTTGAAATAGTAGGACAGAACTATGAGGTACAATCTGTGAAAATCATGTCTGCCAGCTGTACTGCCAGCTGAAATCTCCACGCCTCCTATTTGGGTGGTCCACTGGCTCGTTCGTTTCCCCATGTCGATCCTCTTCAGCCGGAATCCGTGGATGGCGCTTGTCAGCCCCGATTTCGACTCGGACGACCATGTAATCCGAAGACCAAACAAATGGTGTTCACTCCACATAGCCATGATTAGGGAGTGTACTGCCAGATACTGCCAGCATAGTACTGTCACACGTTTAAAGTCCTCACGTTGGTTCATGAGAGTCCGAACTTCATTGGTGGACCGCAATGGCCAACTTCCATGGGTTCAGTCAAGAAAATATGTCATCTAAGCAGGCAAAGATATGCAAACATGCATCAAAGGCAATATGTTCCGCAAGACTTTTCAGTGATCACCTCATGTTCTGCCTGAAACCAATCTTCTGTGCCTGTGCATATCTCTGCTGACCCTTCGTGGCTATTCAATCACAACCATCAACTCATGGGTGTATGCACTTGAAGCAAAACCTGAATTGGTTTGCATCAGCGCGCGACTGTTTGGTGATTTATACCATCATGATATGGACATGGACATGGAGGATATCAAGCACCATCCATCCGATTTGTCCAAAAAGCAAATGACCAAAGTGTTCCAAACCACAACTGTTTCAGGCAAGTCTCCATCTCCCCACATGTCACTCTGAACCAGCTCCGCGGGTGCGGGCGACGCGCTGCGGCTGCGGCTCTGCTCGCGTTCCTGGGCCAGTTGCTCCAGCGGCTCCAAGGTCGCTAAGGCCTGCTGCAGTTGGGGTGCCAGTTGAGGCCCCAAGGGCCCACAGCCACGCAGGACACAAGTGATGAGGTGCACCATGCACACGAACTCCGCGAAATCCAGCTGGCCATCTTGTGTCCTGGACGTGTCAGGATTCTTTCCGCTGTTCCAGTCTTTGGACGACCTTTCTCACAGGTATTGGATGGTCTTGGAGGGATGAAATCGCTCCAAAAAGAGGTTGCTTTAACAGAACCGCCGCGTGACCCTGTGATTCAATGATCATGGCGACAGAACCGCTGTGTTTGATCGGTTGACCGCGTCCCACGATCGATCGGTTGACCGTCGACCTGTCGGCTGACTCCGCAATGCTCACGCAAAGGGCGTCGCCGCTGGCCCGCTGCTGGTTGGGGATTCAACTCAATCATCGCAAGTAAAGGTTGAAAACGACATATATATTATATATTATTATATATTATATATTATATCTGAAACCACCACCCTGCTTGTCGATATCTCTTTCATCACTGACAGCTGTGCAGCAAATGGGATGACGAGATCAAGTTGCTGCTCCCACTAGTCCTTTCTCTCACATAAACACACATTCTTCTCGTGAGTCTATCGTCCCCCTGCCAAAAGATCAGCACATTCCGTATGTCCACCCACAAGCGCTTCGCAAGTTTCGCGAAGGCACCTGGCATCGGCGAGGTCCCAAATCTGCCGCAAGATCCCCTCCTGAGGAAGGACCCGTTGGCATGGGGGAAGAACGGCCCCAACACCTGGTGGAAAGGAAAAACAACCAGGAAAAGCCGGATTTTGTGGAGGCCAGACCGTGTTGAGCGGGCGTCAGTGAGGGATAGGGGCTTGGTGTCCAACAACACGTGTCATTTATGTGTTTGAATGTGTTTTAGATCTTTTGGGAGGTGAGAAAAAAGGTGTTTGTGAAGATCTAGAAGTGTCGAACTCGCAGTCACCCGCAATCTGACCCGGTCTGAATAGTTGTATGATGTGTTATAATGTGTTATATGTAGGTCAAAAGCCGAGACCTCACCCGCTCTCAAAAGAAGTGAGCATCCACTCCGTCAACTGACAGAAAATCATCATCCGAACACCTTCCCAGCATTAAACTGCTTCCTTGGGGGATACCCCTTGCTACCGGTCTACCCCCCTGGAGGCCCTAGGTCTGGCGCAAGCTTAGGGGGGATCAGGGGGGAGTGTATTCCAGTGTACTTGATTGGAAAGCTCTATGGATCGAATCAAAAACGCCAACACAGACCGAGGCGAAGTTGGGGGGCCCGGAACGAAAGTTGTTCCGTTCTGTAGGCCGAAGACCACAGTACCTCCATCTGCTTGGGGCTCCCTTCCAGAATGTAGACGTTTGATGTTTCTAAAAGCATCTGGGTTGTAACATTGACAACTCAAGAGTCATTCAATCGGAACCCCCAAGATCACACCTCCTCGCCCCCCTCCCGTCCTCGAGCCCTGAGCGTTCCATCAGCGCTTTGGCCTCGCCCGCCTGGACGAAGCCATCGTGATCCCAGTCCGAGCGCTGGAAGAGCCCCGCGTACTTGCGCCGCTCCCGCCGCGAGGGCGCCCACCTGCGAGGATTGAGCCCTGCCGCAGAATCGACTTCCAACGACCGCCCTCGAAACGAAGAAGAACATGTCCCAGCACTCGAGCTTCACAGGTCACCGATTGAGACCTGTTGCCCAGCAACCCTCGATTTCGAGGTGTAACCTGAGGGTGGCAGCCGGTGTCTCTTTCAGGCCGAAGCTGAAGCGGTTTTGGCGGTTTAAGCAGTTTTGGCGGTTTTGGTGGAGCCGGTATGGATCGGAGGGAGAATCACAACAGAAACAACCACCAAGGTTTGAACATGTTGACCGTGTCTTGCCTGAGAAGAGGGAGGGGTAACTCGCCCTTCTTGACCACTTGACCTAAAAGAAATGTGTGTTTGCTCCGACAAAAAAGGACAGTGCTACAGTGGGTTCACAGGGTTCAGATACCTTGTGAGGAGGTACTTGGAGCCCTAGGGAGTATTAAACTAAACAAAAAAAGCACGCAATACCCACAGCACAGGCCTCTCAGGTGTGAAGACCCTTCGCGGCGACATCGATCTTCCTCGCCCCTCCGCCACTTCGGCGGCCGCCACGGCAGCGGCGTGTTGCAAGCGGATCACCGGTTGCATCTCCGAGTGCTCGCCTCAGAGACCGCAGAGAACGCAGAGAACATCGCTTCGAAAGAGCTCCATTGGTTCATGTTGGGTTTAGAGGAGGGAACGGACCAGAAGAGGGCGAGAGAGAGTCCAATCTTGTCCAATCTTGTACTTGTCCTCTTTTTCCAGCTCCCCATTGGTCAAAGCAAACACACATGAAGGAAGAATCAATAACGAGCTGTTCCACCACAACCCCTTCGCGGGTCCACGGGCAAGTCGCTTCCATGGATACTATGTGCTCGCGAGCCCAAGGACGAGGGGGGCCGCTGAAGGCCAGGGAACTCCGGCAACAAGGGCGGCTCCTGGTGCGCATGGACCACATCCAAGGGCAGGCCGCCATTCTGGGCCCAAGCCACCAAGCGACAGGCCAACCAAAAGCCTTCGGCCATGAGGTAGTCCTGAAAAATCTCGGCCGCTTTCAAGCCGCTGTCATTAATTTGTTTGTTAAGAAAGAAAAGGGCGAGGTCAAATTGGGTGGGTGTTCCGTGGTGTACCTTGCAACCTCCCTTTCTGGACCCTATGGACGACCACCGTTGAAAGAAAGAAAACAAACAAAGGAACTCGAAAGAACCTGAGTAAGTCTTGCAACCCGCTTGGCTTCCATCTCCTCAGTCTCCGGACACGCGCGCGCGCGCGAGCGTGCACTGGCCTGTGTGTAGGATTGAAGCGACGTAGCAAAGTGCCACACTTGGTGCAGGATCTCCTGGGGAAGCTGGCTCGCTGCCAGAAAGTTGGCGGCCACGTGCGGATCCAGCGCCTCCCTGGACAGAGCGTGGAATCACAGGGCTGGCGATGCTGGAAATACATGTTGTGGGTTGGTGTGGGAAAAATAAGGCAACAAGCAACAGTCTTGGACTCCCAAAGAGTTCCAAGATCTCTTCAAAACTATCAGGAACAAGGGTACCTGGAGGACTGTGCAAAGAGTTGTGTGGAGGTGTGTGAGGTGTTTATGATCTTTAATCAAAGTCCCCTCCCTCCAAACGATGGAAGTGGAAAATTGCCCTTTGCTCTACAAAAAGGGGGCTTGTCCACTTCCATGTTCGTTGAGAGGGTAGACTGTACGAACCAGGGTTGATGTTCAGGACCTCTGGTGAGGCAAATGTACTGAGCTGCCACGGTGATGCACGAAATCCTGCATCAATAAAGCAACACATGCGGTCCTCCAATAGTACAGACCCCCGTGCCCCTCAACTCAATGTTGTCTCATGTTTGTTATGTGTGATGCAGGATTTTGGCCGCTCAATTGTTATCTTTTTTTTTGTTTGACGCATTTCCTCAACTCAATGTTAAAGAGGGATGCAGGATTTTGTCCATCAACAGTATGACGCCACAAATCTTCAAACGTAACCTTCCGTGGAAGTGACCACCTCCGGCCAAGGCCGCTTCGCAAAGCGGCGTCCTTTTTTGGGGTCGAATGGATTTCCTCCTTGAAACCACCATGTTCGTTGGTCTCCATGTTTGAACCCCTCAGCAAGGTTGAGATAGCGCCTGCCATCAGGATTGGCAATGACGAAGAGTTGCTGGTAGAACTCAAACTCCTGTGGACCATACTGAATGCCATTGGCACTCTGTGGGGCAGGCTGCATCTTGCAGCACGCAGCGCACCCGGTCAGCAAGCTCCAAGCTCCATGTGCAGGTGCGTGAGGTCGTGGCTTAAACCAAGCCTGCTAAGCCTGCTAAGGTGGAGTTCAGTGCGAGTTTCGGAGAAGTTCTGTGTGTCGAAGAAAGAGGAGGAAACCTTTGGAAACGCCGACCGCTCGAGGAATTTCGTATTTCCGCTCCGCAAAGGTTGTGAAGTTGATGTGTTGGTCGGCTTGACTCGGCTTGACTTCGAAAGAGTGAGAAAAGCATCACTATGGACTAATATATTGTGACCAATATATGGCTCAATTACTGGCTAAATGGTATCAATGATTGATAGATCTGTCTGAAAAGGTCTGAACGTGGCAGCACGCAGCAAAAGGCTTTCAAGATTGGTGTCATCTGGTATCTGATCAGCAATCCAATTCTGGTGTATCTTAGAGAACGGTTTCGAGACATCGCCTGTTTCTTCCAGGTGGACACGATGCCGACGTCGTGGACCCCTGTGGGGTTGCACCAGTTTCACCCGTTTTGGACGAACTTTCAGGGCACGGTGGACCGGTCGTTGGTCAGTAGCGTCCGATCGCTCCCGTTCGTAGCGTCCACCTCTCGTGGTGTTCCCCCAAGAACCACGAATTCCCGGGTGGACCGCCCAGGTGCCGAGAACGACCCCCAAGCAGCGATGATCACGCGCCACATCGAACCCACGCGAAATCGGCGAGACGTACGACGGTGCGACCGACCAGAAGTTCGCGCCCTTCTTCGAGGCATCCGAGTTGGACATCCGAAGTCGACTGCATCGCTTTCACAGCCGAGACACGAGAGTCTCGTGTCGGCGATGGCATCGCTATGACAGGCGCTCGGATCAGTCATGACTAGCACCGGGTGCGACGTCGAACACATCCGAAGCTATCCAAAGCACGGTCGTTGTCCGGAGACTACAATTGATTACAGGATAAGAAGTCTACAGGCTGATATCCATGTGGGGAGTAGATGGCG